TACGCATGGGATAGTAAAGCTCCCTGGATCCTTACACTTTGGAGGTAACTTCCGTTGCAAAACCGCAGATACATTTTCACTTACCTTCACAACTTCTTTGTTTGAAATTCTTTTCCTAGTTGTGCATAATTCTTTTAAAAACTTTGCGTACCTGGGCACTTGCTTAATAGCATCAAGTAAAGGAATGTTCACTTGGACTTTTCGAAAGGTATCCAAAATGTCCTTTTCGCTTTCTTCTTTCTTCGATTGTGCAAATCTACGAGGGAAAGGAACATTGGGCAGATTAGTGTTCGAAATCACAACATTTGGAACATTCTTACCTGAGGTGGACGGATGGGATGTCTTAGATGGCTGCGGCATGGGTGATGGTACCCTTGCCGTGGGGTAGGTGTTCTCATCTTCCTTGAGTTGTATCTTCTCATCTTCCTTGTTTCTCACCTCTTTTCCACTTCGTAATGTGATAGCCTTTGCAGATTCGAAGCCACCCTTTGGATTGACCACCGTAGTGCTTGGTAACTTACCATTTTCACGGAATTGCCCCAAAAATTCGGCCATTTGTCCCATTTGCTTCTTCAGCTCATTAACCTCCTTTGCTTGGTTCTGCATTCCCTGCGCCATGGTGGTTAGTAACTGATATGTTTTATATCATCATTCATAGACGTACCTGGGTTGGTTTGGGAAGATTGTGCCTGAGGAGGTGGTTGTGGTTCCATTGGCCTTTGGAAAGAAACCCGGGGGTTGTCGGAATCCACTTTGTTGGCCATATTGTGGTGCATCTCTCCATCTGAAATTGGGGTGGTCACGCCATCCCGGGTTGTATGTATTGGAGAAAGGATCATTCCTTGGTTGGTTTTGATTCCCATAACCCACAGCATTGGCCGATTCCCATCCTCCATTCTCAATTAATTGAGGGCATTGATCAGATTGGTGTCCTTGAAATGGAGCATACACCACAGATTGTAGTTCCTTGCGTTTTGGGGCCTTCAACCAACTGCGATAACATAGACGTAAGGTTAGCCATTTGGGATTGTAACTCAGAAATAGAACTTACCTCATTGACATGATGTGGCCGTGGGGTGTCTCTTTGCCCAACACCTTCATATTGTTGTGCATTGAGTGCTCGATTCGCAATGAGAGTTTTGGCATCCCTAGGTGTCTTATCCACTAGAGCTCCTCCCGCGGAAGCATCCAACATTTGCCGTTCAAGTGGTAAAAAGACCTTCGTAAAAGTATTGAAGAAGTAACTCCTCCTTCATCTGATGCTGTGGACAAGAAGCAACAAGTGATTTAAATCGTTCATAATAAGATGGAAAAGATTCACCTTGGCTTTGCTGAATTCCACTTATTTTTTTTACGAAGAAGAATGATACGAGAAGTTGGGAAAAACTTCTCCAGAAACGCCCTCTTCATACTCTCCCAAGATGTAACTGTACCGGGAGCCAACTCGTATAACCAATCCTTGGCTTTGTCCATTAAAGAGAATGGAAAAGCCTTCATCTTTTAAAATACTTCCGTCAACGGTAATCGGAGTCATACTTGAGCACACCACTTCAAATTCCTTCAAATGTTTGTTCGGATCCTCCATGGAAAGCCCATGGAACTTTGGAATGTGGTGGAGCAAACTTGACTTTAACTCGAACTCTTCGGTTTTACCTTGAGCAGCCATGGGGATATTGGATACACAATGGTGCGGCATTATCCAAACCCGAGGCGGCAAGCTCCTTGAGTGTACGGTTGTCCATGGCTATACCTTGCTCTTCTAATTCAGGCTCGGGACTAAGAGGATTAGACTCTTGCAATTTCTTTTTCCTTCTCAAAGTCCTCTCAAAATCACCGTCAAAGTCGGAGATATGCTCACGAACAGGTTGTGAGCTACGGGTCATAAACTAGTACCTAAAAAACAAAGAAAACAAAACAAATCAGCAACTTAAACAGAAACTTAAACAAAATACAATAATTCGAAAGAAAACAATCCAAGAGATTAGCAAAGTTGCTAATCCCCGGCAACGGCGCCAAAATTTGATGCGAAATATATAAGCACACAAATTAAACCCTCTTTTTATCAAATGTAGTAAAGTATGTAAGTAGGGATCGTTCTAGGCCGGGGGATTAGGAGGGATTGCTAAACACTTGAAAACTGACTTAAAAACATAAAAATAAAATTTAAAACACTAAACTAGACTCAAAGAATGCAAAACTATACTTTAAAATACTTAAACAAACATAAAACTCAAAACAGCAACCTAATGACTCAAAACTACCTAAAAACCACTTTCTGGGCAGTTTTGAGAACCTAACAAGAACTTGGACGAAGTTGGATAAAAACTTGAATAAAAACACTTAGAAACACAAATCAAAAACACTTTCTAACTAATCTAAGACTTCAAAATAAAGGGGGATTTGTTTTGGACGAAAATTGAAAACAAAACAGAAAACTTTAAAACAAAACAGATTGTAAAACGTTTTTGGATGAAAAGGATGGATAAAAGGCTAGTTAGGAGGTTTTTCTCCACACATGACACACTTGCAAACAAAATGATTTTCAGTTGTTCTTTCAATAAATTATGAAACTCAACACCCCAAGTTAATTAGATACGCTTAAATTAACCTTCAAGTTCTCCTTAAGTTAATGAATTGGATGGAAAAGCGCATACAACAATTCAAAGCATTCCTCAAAGGTTCCTTACGTGATGAGCACAATAAAGATACAATCAAGAATCATGAAGCACAATGAGAACTATAAGTGTTGACGAGGCATTCGTTACTATGATGAGCATGAAAACTAGTGCCAAGAATTCATTCAACGCGATCGTTTTTCAAGCGACCTTCACTACTTGTGATTATAAGATTGTAACTATTAGGTGAAACTCCCTCATAATCTAGCATCATATATTCATGCATGAAAACTAAGCGTGCACTCTCAATCAACATACACAAATAAGTTATCAATCAAGTAGATGAACGAATTGAATCCGCAACTTATGAAATAACAACTGAATGTAATCAAATCATATTGCAAGCATGTACATGGTTTCAAATCACCCCCCAACTAAGGGGGTTTAGTTCCTCATTCTTGCAATACAAAGATACATAAAATTAGACATTAAAATCCAAGGAAAGAAAACACCTAAAATGCTCCAACTTGGAAAGCAAGTGCATCAATGGATCTCCCTTCCTCCTTGTTGCGGCATGAAGCTTGTGGACAGATTTTTGGGTGGATTTATGGTGTAGAATGGATGGGGAATGATATGGAGGGGTTTAGGGTGAGTGTGGAAGAGTGTTTGATGGTTGGAAGGTGGTGGAAAAACTAGGCAAAGAGGGGTGGAAGAAGGTGGAGTGGTTGTTATGTTTTCTAGGCACTAGAATGGTGTTTTTGGGGTGTTTTGCTTCCTAGGGTGTGTATGGACGAATTTCTGTGATAAAATGATGAATATGGGGATTGTTCTTTGGCCAAGGGGTGTAAACATGTATTTATAGGCCCCAAAAACCTTAGAAAATAAGGTTAGGTTAAGGATGGCAATTTGTGTGTGTGGTGTGCAATGGTCCAAGGGTGAAAATGAAGTAATGATGCAAAGTGTGAAGGGTAAAATGGAGTGGTGTTGTAGCTAGGGAGCATGAATGATTGTGTACATTGCATAGAGATGGAAAGGGAGGTGAAAATGTGTCAACAAATTGGTCAAAGGTGCAACAACATGTGTTGCACATGGCATTGGATTCCAAATGTGAATGATGGAGCATCAATTGGTGCATGTAATGGATGTAAAGGTTGTCTAAAATCTAATGGGGTGAAGGGGGAACAAGAGGTATCAAGCAATTGAGTGAAATAATTAAATGAATTAAAGCATGAAATCAGAAATTATGTAGGGGACAAGAGTGATCAAGCATGGCATGGAATCCAAAGGGAATTCTATGTGGTTTGCATGGCAAGGAATGCAAGTTGGGGTGACAGATTTTTGGGCTGTTTTCTTCATCTTTTGGACCATAATTCTTCATATTCTTGGCCTCTTTAGTTCTCAAATTCGTCCATCCACTTGGCCCATGCATTTGCTATCCATTCCAAGCCCGAAACATGCTCCAAAGGCCTCCAAAATGCATGTTCTTGCATACTTTGTACTTAGAGTCTTTCACTTTGCATGTGGGCTTCTTTGCATGTGTATGAGTTGTCATTATTTATCCTTGCAATTACACACACACACTTGCACACACATATGCCCAAAACGTCCATCCTCATGCATGCAATCCATTTGAGCCCAATATTGATCCAACATGCACCAAAATGCACTTTTCTTGCCAAGGTTGTTATTAAGACCTACAAACAAAAGAAAATGGCTTTAAACACTAAAATAACTAAAGAAACACAACGTAAACGCACAAGAACAAGCCAATTAAGTCGCATAAATATGCTCCTATCAGAAACAATGACCAAGTTAGAGAGAGAAATAGATGAGAGAGAGACAGACGAACCTGATGGCAGTAGAAATATGTTGCTGAAGCTTCACTGGCTGGAAAGAATGAAACTTTTCAGCCAAAATGCAAAATTTGGTACAAAAACCATATCTTTAAGGATGGAACATTGATGCAAACAAGAAATCATCACTTCGAAGCTTCACTCTTGACTTCTCTCCAACAAAAAAGAACAGTGATGAAATGAGCTGAGGATTTTTAGTATTTATATGTAGGCATTTTAGTAATTCGTTTTTGTGCATGGTGGCATGTCTTGTGCATGGCCGGTTTATCCTATTTCTGTCCCAAGATTAAGAAATTGTCCTATTTTAGGATATTTCCCTATATTTTTTTTGTTACAGTAGTGGATGAGATCGAAAGTTATAAAAATGCTAGCCGTACATATTTTCCCTAAGGACTAGCTCCACATGCTTCCCTTTGATTTGGCCTTCACGGCTACTAATCAACCATACATGCTCTTTGTACGGTCAGTCATGTTTCATTTTGGATTCTCTAGCTAGACGCCAAATATGTATATAATCTCTGGCATGTAATGTAATAAAAAGACAGATCCAAAGAAGAAAAAACAGGGTCATAACTCGATCGATCGGTAAACTCACTTCACAGCTCTCTCTCTCTCTCTCTCTCTCTCTCTCTCTCTCTAGGGATTAATTTGTACGTACCGTACGTTCTTTCTGAAAAATGGCGCCTCGAGGAACCCTAGAAGTTCAACTTGTTGGTGCTAAGGATCTGAAAAATATGGACGTCGGTAATTAAGTTCTCTCTTTTTGCATATGGCTCTTCAGTTTGTCTTCCGGCTTCGAATTTGTTTCTAACACCTAATATTATTGCATGTAGGGATGATGGATCCTTATTGCGTAATCACCTACAAAGATCAGCAGAAGAAGAGCGGCGTGGCACGCGGTCAGTTTTCTAGTCTACCTCAACTTTTTATGTAATGCTATTAGGATACATTAAACTAATATTTATCGCTAACATGTTAGTACTACGGTCAAGTGGTATTCCCCTTCATTTGTAAGTGAGAGGTTTTAAATTTGATTTTCGCCAAATACGAATTTGAACCATGTTAGTGCTAGCCCTTTATGAGGCTAAGCCCACTCCCACGTTCCCTTAGTGTAGATAATATCATTCGTTCCAATAAAAAAAAATTATCGCTAACATATTCACTAGCACAGTGGATTTCACATACATTAATAAGACCCACTTCTTTTATATTATTATATAGGTAATGCTAGGATATCTAAATTTTTAAACCAAATTTGCAAATCAAATAACGTGTCACCAATAAGAAATAAACACGTTAATCAACACATAAGTAATAATCTAATCATCAACAACAACATTATTTGGTTTGCAAATTTGGTTTATAAAATTTGGTCTCCCTAACATTCCTTATTATAGTATTATTATTATTACTATTTTATACTATACTCTTACATGCATTATTAATAATGAGTAATGCGCTATTCCGAAGCACAAAACTAACACAATTATTGATACATTTTCTAGTAGAGTTGCGAATTCGACCATAGTGAGTGACAAATTAATTTTACAGGAAGCTGAGCAAAATGATATTGAAAACAGAAAAAGAATAATATGTTACGTCGAATCATTAATGGCATATATCAGCAAATTTAATAAGAAAAAGAAAAAATGACGGTGCAGGTCAGGGGTCTATGCCGGACTGGAACGAAACTCTGCTATTCACCATTGCTGGTGGTGAAGATGATCTCAGGATAAAAATATATGACCAGGACAGTGGTTCCCTTGATGATTACGTAGGAGAATTAAAGTAAGTACTTTGCAATCACCATGCATGCAGTATTCTGCAAAATTTGCATAATGTAACTGTTAAATTACGCTTTGCAGCTTGAATGTTAGGTTTAAGGTAGGCTTGGAGAACTAAACAGTAATTCGGAATTTTAAAATACAATGCGTATAGGAAGTCCAGCAAAATATCTTACGAATAAGCTTGTCGATAGAGAGGTTGATAAAGAACCAAAACTTATTCTAAAACTTAATGTCGATACAGAATTCCGCTAGATGCAATAGTAACCGACACTGGGTGCGAGGGGAGAATGCCACCAACGCCATACGAGGTAATGAGGAATGACGAAGTCAAAGGAGAGATTACCATTGGCCTCTTTTTCAATCCTGAGGTATTAATTCTTTCTCTTCCACTTAACAATACGTGTGTATGCATGAATATATATATATATATAATATGCTAAAAGCTGAACTAATATAACACTGATTTTTCCTCCATTTGCTTCAGATATCTGTATTTTGTTAACGACAATAATATATATTTTAAGACAATAATATTAATTGCATATATATATATAATATAATATAATATTTTCGTTTTTTCTTAGCCTGGCCATGAAAGCCGTGGTGATTGCTGTGATGACGAGGAAGAAGAAGAAGATTGACATGGTGGATGCCTGAAGGATGTGCTTTTTCTCGACGCCACAACTTTATATGTTATATGGAAATGTAGCCTTTTTTTATCTTTTTTACTTGCTATGAAGAATAATACGCACGTTAATCTCTGGTTTTGGAGATTTCAGTGTTAGCAATGGAACGCATTGTAATAATAAAATTACGAGAGACTTCGAATGCGGTCCTTAGTTATGAATATTCTTTGATTGAAACTTTGTTAGTTTTTAATTTTTGATCGAGGTCTCTGAAATTAATATGATAATTTATTTCTATGTACGTTACTATATTTTTTAAATTAAAAATTAGAAATTTTAGTTGTTTATATAAATGAGATTTTAAATAAAAAAAAACCATAATTTGTGGGATTAAAAATATTAAAATATAAATATACTATTGTGTGTGTGTGTGTATAAACATGGGTACATTCATCAAAATTAAACAAAAAATTTATTGTATCAAAACATGGGTACATTCTTCAAAATCACAAAAAAATAAAGAAGATATTAGGCTTAATAACATTAGTAAATTTCTTCTATTAAACTTGACATAGATACATTTTAAAATCAAAGAAAAAAGAATGTACCCATATAAGTTTAAAAATGGATTAGAAAAAAATTGAATAGATTTTCTATTAAAGAAAAAAGGGTACCTTTTACATATAACAAATTGGTATATTTAAGAATGAGTACATTTTAAGGTTAAAAAGTTTTACATGAATGGGTACATATAATTAACATGGGTACATTTAGCAAAATAAAAAGTACAAATACAAAAAAATATATGGGTGAAAATACAAATAAACTTTAAAAAATATGGACACAAAAAGAAATTAATATATGGGTACAAATTAAAACTGAAAAGAAAATTGGTACAAGTAAAAAAAGAATTACAAATTAAAAATGGGTACAAACTAAAACCAAAAATGTATGATAAAAAATTTAGTCATAAATATAAATATACTAATTGTAACATTTTAAACATTAAATGAATATATTTAGAAATAAAAAAATATTTAATTATTGAAATAATTAATGATGTTATTAATACCCAAGGACCTTGATTAAAAATTAAAAAAGAATATGATTTCAATCAATGGAGTAGTAAAAGGAAGGATGAGAACCTAATTTCTCCTAAAATTATACTTGTTTTTGATGTTTAGTTTCTGTAATGTTGATTCAAATATTCCTAAACCAATAGCAAACAACTACCACTACGGTTTAATGATATTATTTAGCTATTTGTAAACAAATAATCTTAAGTTCAAGTCTCATGAATTAAAAAAATATATATCTTATAAATGACTAGTTTAAAATTAAATATTGCATTCCCATTATGAGACTTAACTCAACCACAGACTACCAGTGGGTTGGTCCAAAGCCTCCCATCAATGTTATAGCCCAAACTGTCCAAAATCCAAACTAATTTGATTTTGTTAGTGGGTCATAAAATGTAGATTGTGCATTTGGTAAATAGTAAGCACATTATTCCTATACTAAAACCCCAAAACATCGCTACTGTTCACGGACAGTGCGCGGACGAAAATGCCCTCATTTTGGTGTTGCTGTCCCGTTTGGTTTAGTTTTTGTATAGTGAAATTACACCAGTGCCCTTTATTTGGTTGCATTTGATAGAATTGGAGTTTGTTTCAGTTTTATTATTGGTTGTATTTGTTTTTGCTATAGTTGAAGCATAGTTTTGTCAAACCCATGTGTTGGTCATCTTGTGGTACTTTGTTTGGGTTTTATTTTCTCCCGTTTTGTTTCCTCTCATTTCCATCTTTGCTTTGCGGTCGCTCTCAGAGCTTAAATCCTTTTTGCCTCAAAATTTTCTACTTCAGGTCGTCGCAAATTTTCGTCCTGTTGCTTTCAGTCAATGCTTTGTGCGATTCTGCAACTGCAGTTGCTCGGAAAATACAAAATCAGTGTAAGTTTTTTTTATTTTTAGTTTGGTTGGAAGAAAGAGTTCTCTTTTATTGTGTCTAAAGATATCAAAAACAAAATCTTTTTCGTTTCCTTAATTTTTAAACCTGGATCATGTTATGGGTTTTGATGAAAGATTAAATTGAGTTTGAGAGTTTTATTTTATTGAAAGAGGCAAGGAGTTATTTTGAAAAATAGAGGTTGAAGGAAGAGAGTACGGATAAAGAGGAACCTCAGTTTGTACCCTTTTTTTGCCCGTTTGTTTCCTTTTTGTCCAGTTTTCCATTTGTTCCCTTTTTGCCATGTATGATTTGTGCTTCAAGTTTTTTGTTTGTTTGATCTCTTATATGAATATGTTTTGTTCTTTGTCTGTAAACGTCGTTATTAAAGTGATTTGTGTATGTGTATGGCGCGAATCCAATGTAATGCTTAGTGTTGAGTTTTAAGTGTTTGTTTGTATATATCTTTCATAGAGAAACAACAACACAAGAATACAAGATATAAAGGGCAAGGTGTGATCAACACACTGATCACCCTTGAATCACTCCTACATGGTAGCTTCATAAAATAGGGAGTAGAAAGAAGGTAAGGCAAAAAGCTTCTAACCACCCTAGAATATGGGGTGATTGATGCTGCATTGCGCATCCTGAAGCTATATATGACTGATGCTGCACTACACATACTGATGCTGCATATGGAATACCCACTCTTGACTTTCAATACTCCCCTTGAAGCTGGGTCCAGAATGTTGATGGAATCAAGCTTGGATAGGAAACGCTTAAACTGATTTGGAGGTAATGGTTTGGTGAAAATGTCAGCTAACTGATTAGCACTTTTTGTGTAAAGAGTTTGAATCACATGAGTTTGCACTTGAGCACGGACATAGTGGCAATCAACCTTAATATGTTTTGTTCGTTCGTGGAACATTGGATTGGAAGCTATGTGCATTGCAGCTTGATTATCATAGTACATCGACATAGGTTGCTTTGTTTGAAACCCCAAATCACTCAACAGACCTTGAAGCCATATTAATTCACATGCTGTGAATGCCATCGATCTATACTCAGCTTCTACACTCGATCTTGCAATGACACTTTGCTTCTTACTCTTCCATGTTACCATATTTCCTCCCACAAACATGTAATAACTTGAGGTACACTTTCGATCTATTTGGTTTCCTACCCAGTTAGCATCACAGTAACCAATAACTTGAGTGTTATCATTCCTTTTCATGAGAATTCCTCTTCCAATCGATCCTTTGAGATATTGAAGTACTATCTTAACGAGGTTGAAGTGTTCCATTGTAGGTGCATGACTGAATTGACTTGCTAAGGTCACTGCAAATGTAATATCTGGTCTTGTGATAGTTAAATAAATTAACTTACCAACAAGCCATTGGTAGTAACCGATATTAGGTAGAGGTTCGCCTTCCAAGCTGAGCTTGAGCTTGCTATCAAAAGGGGTTTGAACTAGCTTGGCATCTTTCATGTTTGATTTTGTGAGAAAATCGAGGATATATTTCCTTTGGTTAAGAAATAGCCCTTTACTTGGTGAGGCCATTTCTATCCCCAGAAAATATTTTAACCTTCCAAGATCTTTGATGGAGAACTTTTGTTGAAGAGAGACCTTGAGGTTTGTGATTTCATCAGCATTTTCCCCCAGTGATTATTAAGTCATTAACCTAGATCAACACAACAAGTTTGCAAACCTCTCATGTTCGAACAAACATAGATGAGTCTGCATAACTTCTTCAAGAACCGAGCTGAGCTTGGCATACCAGGCTCTTGTGGATTGTTTTAATCCATAAATGGATGTTGTGCAACCTACACACCATGCCAGGCTCATTGTATTAAGGATTTCCCAGTGGAAGTTTCATGTAAACCTCCTTGTAGTCTATGGCATATGTTTGAGTGAATCCTCTAGCCACCACCTAGGTTTGTGCCTTTCAATCGATCCATCTAAGTGGAATTTGATCTTGTTGGTCCACTTACTACCAACTGCTCTTTTTCATGGTGGAAATCTAACTACACTCTAGGTGTTGTGATGAGTGAGAGCACGAAGCTTTTCCTCTGTGGCATTTCTCCACACTTCTTGATAGTCTGCTTCTTGAAATGTTTAAGGCTCGCAGTGACTGGTGATGGTGTTCAAATAGGTAGCATAAGTTTTTGAAACTTTCTGGTAGGACATGAAACCACTGATCGGATGCCTTGCTGAATAAGTCATATAATCTTGAAGTCTTGTAGGAGGATGCCTAGCACACACTGAATTTCTTTTGCCTTGAAACTGTTGTGCTTTTTCTGTTGAGCTTTCTGGCTCTTCATAAGGAGATTCTTCATTATGCATCTGTTGGTCAGGATCGTGATTACTATCTTGAGTTTCATCAGCTGCAATAGGAGAATTAAAAGGTTGTATCTCGAAAGATAGTTCCTCAACCCTTGGTAAGGGAAAAAACTGAAAACATGACTCCGTCTGTGATAGATCATCAGACAACTTGTTAAAAAAAGGGTTAGTTTCATCAAATCGTACATCCCTTGAAACTACAACTCTCTTTAACTCGGGACTATAACACTTGCAACCTTTTTTAGTAGATGAGTAACCAAGAAACATGCATTTGTTAGCCCTAGGGTCCAGTTTATCTTTATATTGTGTTTGAATATGAACATATCATGTGCATCCAAAGACTTTAAGATGTGACAAACTAACATCCCTTCCTTTTAACACTTCTATTGGAGATTTGAACTCCAAGACTCAACTTGGTAATCTGTTTATCATATATGCAGCTGTCATGACCCCTTGGGACCAAATCTTTTTGGTACATTCATGTGCAACATTAGAGCTCTTGTTTTTTTCAAGTAGATCATGATTCTTTCTCTCGGCTAGACCGTTTTGTTGTGGAGTACCAACATAACTGGTTTGTTGCAAAATTCCATTATTGCTTAAATATTGTTTCATGATGTGTGACATATATTCCAAGCCATTATCAGATCTCAAAGTTTGGATTTGGGAATTGAAATGATTTTTGACAAGATTATGAAAGTCTATGAATGCTTCAACAACTTCACTCTTATATTTCAAAAGGTATAACCAAGTAACTCTTGAGAAATCATCTATGAAAGTTACAAAGTACTTATACCCATCAAAAGATTCAAAATATGGCCCCCATACATCTAAATGTACAAGTTCAAAAACTTGTTTAGTCCTAGTTGAGGATAAACCAAAAGGTAACCTAGTGGCTTTACAAAAATGACATGTATCACACTGGATCACTTCTTTACATAGATTTGGAAACAATC